AACAGGAATGAAGAACAAAGTTTTGAAATGCCCAATGTCTTTTCAGCTTTGTTTCAGTCAAACTTGTACATATCATGTGTGTTTGCACCCGGTAGCACTCACAGAAACATAAGAAGTGTTTGAAGAAGTGTTTGGACAATGCTCTAAGACATATGATCTGATTTTATTGGGTTGGGGACCCAGGACTTGGACTCGATGATCCTTGTGGATCCCTTCCAACTTGGATATTCTACGATTCTATGAAATATCCTACATGAATAGCAGGGTCATTTGCAGAAATAAGGCATCTACGAGGCACAATCTTTACTGCCTACCCATTACTGGAAAGTAATTGGAAAATAAAACTAACCATCAGTTTCCATTTTGCAAACACATATTTTTGTTGATGGTTTCTTAAACAAGATGTTTAAAAACCCTCTTTCTAACCCTCTCCCTCCACAGCACCACCAAAGACCTGGCTTTAAGCCAGTCCAACTGACTGAGAAAGGCGCCAGTTTAGCAGACGTATTTCCCAGTGCAGAAGGTTATAGGAAGGATGTTCCACAGGGCAAATAAACAGGTGAGGTTCCACAAGACAGAGCGTGTGTGCTGAATTTAATAATTCAAGTAGGTCTTGTTATAGCACAGACTGTGCTGGTTTCATCAAAGGGCCTGAAGATAATATGTCCCATCTGTGGAATTTTAATGAATAAATTCTGTTCATTTATGCTTCCTTCTCTTTTTGAAAAGACATAGGAAAAATGTGTATGTAACCTCTTTGTCAACACTGATTTCTCTTCATTTTCAGAAATGTAAAAACTAAAAAGCAACGGTCTCTTTTGAAATGCCGACAGCTGACACAGAGACTTGGATGCCGACAAGAATCAGGGTTGTGTGAGTTTGGGAGGTCAGCTGGTAGGTAGGTGGCTTAAATAATACAGCAGGACTGTCTACAAGCAGGAGGGAATCAGTGAAGACTAAGAAATCGAGTCCCCTTTCAAAAGAGATGAGTAGCCATGAATACTTCCATTATATTTTCGTACAACAATACATATTTAAAGTGCTTTCAAAAAGCATTTCAGAAGTAGAGCTAAATTCATCAACCAGTATTGTATAAACTACATAATCAGAGATTCAGAGCACCTGTACTCTAGGTTAACCACTACTAGCTTGTTGGATGACCTTCAGAAAAGCACTTTGCATTTTGCTCATCTGTCAGCCACCCTCTAAAATGGTAATGCAAAGCACGGATTTATTCATAAGGATTGGTACATAAATGCTAAATGTTATTATTAATATTAGTATCTTTTAAATTCTTCCTTTGAGAATGCACAGTTTTTCTCTTTTGTCACTGTTAGTCTGTTAAACCACCTGATATAAACACAAGGAACTTCTGTTTTCATCTGTTTCTACTTTTAGGTTCACAATAACTTTTGAAAATAACATTTCATCGTCCTAAGTTTTTTGACCTGCAATTTTAACGCGTCATTTAGGCCAAAGACTCTGACCGAAAAGAAGGGACTTTCTCTTAAGACTGCTATAATTGGTCCCATCCACTTCTGTGCCTCAACCCTTTCTCTGAGGTCTCATCCCTGCTGCAGAAACCACACAGCTTCTCTGAGACTACTACTGAAATGCTGCATGCTGCCAGCCAGAAAACAGAGGGAAACTTGCACCAATTTTATGTGGGTTGAGCAAGTTTTGGAAATGTTTCATCACTTTAAACTGCATTAAGTAAATCCCAGGAAACCCAAAATCTTAATTTAGTCCTCTTGGTTAAATGTGTAGGATCAGATGGAACTAATATAGCTTGAATATGGGCTTGGCACAGACAGAAGAAATCCAAAGATGTATAACTTGCGTATGGAAAAGTAACAGCACTGGACCTTTAATTTTTTGCCTGAAAATGTGGAAATTCACAATGAAACTAGATGTTTGCATATGAATTACATTGAATGAATCCATCTGTCACTTTCAAAAAAAAGGCAACAATTACCTTGCAAAAACTATACTGAGTATGATGATATGTTAGGACTAAGAGTGATGATTAGACTTTAACAATTTTAGACAAATTACTTGAAGCACACATTTTTCCAATCAGTAAATATAACACATTCAGCATGATCCACTCAAAGAAATTATTGGATCAGCAACAGAGGGATTCTTCAGGCAATCTTGGGGGAAAAGGGGACAGATCATTTTGGCTTTATTTGCTACTGTTGAAGTTTGACAGAAGGATTAATTCATTTCTCATGCCCTGTAGACATGCCAGTGAAACTGGATTATATACAGATACTCCACATTTTAGACAATGGAGATAAAATGATACAGCATGGATTTACAGCATCTAGTCTGATATCTTGCATATCTCTTCCTAACCATTTTTGTAAGTAGGAAGAAAGCTACAGAAGAAAAATAAGCTTGGAGTTTATAACAGAACAAAAATAAGCTTTGTGCTTGTAACAGCTTTCAACAGCTTTGTGCTGTTGAAAAAGGGAAGGGCTGTTACATCATCTTGCAAATGTCGAGTCGATGGGGATTAATTGTTTAGGTTGCAGGTTAGAGTACAAGTAAGAGCGTTAATCAGAGGAAACTAAGTAAGTGATCAGTCACGTTTAATGTAAGAAAGAACATCCAAAGCACAAGATGTGTAGTAGATAACATCAAAATCTTTACATTTAGTGTTACAGGTACCTGCCAATCTCTTTTTAAACTTGCTTATATTTTAAAGTAGACATGTGAGAAAAAAATATAAGATCATAGTTACATACATTACAATCAATTGATAAATGTCTACCTGAATAGGTAAGAACTTCATGGATACAGATTTTTAAAAGAGAGCCTACTTTACATCAGGACATAAAAATATCCTGCATTATCCCCTGAGAGACTGACTGAATGTGACCTAGAGGGAGTTTTCCAGCTCTAATGTCTATGATTCACAATATATCATGCTTAGGATCTTCTTACTTCTTGGGAAAAATAAAAAAATAAAAAAAAATAAAAAAAATGACAGTTCCAGTTCTTTCCATTCCTGGTTTCAGTTACCATCCTCATAGCCGCAATATAACTGGATGCTGGAGGTACTTACTTAAATGTGGAGAGGAAGAAAACAGTCAGTTTGAAAGACTTGCAGGCAAATTCTATTCTAAGTTCCAACACAGCATACTATCAGTGCCATTTATTTTATCTAAATTGCTCTAAACTAGTAAGTTTGTAACAGAAAGCAGAATCTGTCCCCTCATGCTGAAGCCACAGTAAGGACTCCCCTGATCTGTGAACAAAATCCAACAGAAAGTTTTGTCCTAGTCCTTAGACGGGCATGCTCTGAGACATATGAACTGAAATGCAGAGCAGATGTTCTTAAAAAAAAAAAAAAACAAGACACAGAGAGAGAGACAATTTTCATCAGATGCTTAAGTGGAGTAGAATCAAAACCCAAACAACAACAACAAAAACACAACGTGTACCAGAGCTTCTGTAACCAATTAAGAAAACAGATCACTGCTCCTGAGTCCAGCTCCCAAGCTGGAAGGAAAGGACACCCTCCATCATATAATTTGCAGAGTAAGTGGAAGACAGTGTCTGGTTCTCTGAGTAACTTTATTTTTTTTTTAGAGGGCAGATGAGAAAGAAATAGCTCTTACTTACACTGACCTCACTGACCATTTTGCTATTTAGAAGTCATTTTCCTCACTGGAGAATGGAAAAAATGCTATAGCAGTGTAAAACCTTTTTTTGAGGTTTTAAGTGTTACATTCTTTATAGGAAAGGGCAGAGAGCTTGAAATAGAAAAAGAAGTTAAGATATTTTTAGTTCAGTTTACTCGGAATTAATCTGATTTAAATACACTGATACTCTCTTGACTGAATTGAAACCTTATTATGATCTTGTGAATAATGTAAAGCATCGCATTAATTAAAAATAATAAAAATTAGAATTTTCAGTAGTAAGAAAATGTAACTGACTTCAGCCATATGGGAAACAGTTAAAATCAAGCTTTGCTTTCAGTTACACAATAATATTAGATCAGTACAAACAAATTCTTTGCTAATCGTTTTCAAATTTTTATAGAGGCACTGACTGCAAATCCAGATGGGACCATTGCAATTATCTAATCTAGCATCTAACACAGGCAAGAGACTTTCAAATAATATCCCAGCATCAAACACAAGATTGCCTGTTTAAGATAGAACAAGTCTTTAGGAAAGACGTCCGTAGTGTTGATAACATCTGTTGATGGAGAATCAGGGAAATCCTTATGCAATTTTTTCCAGAGGTAAATTAATAGTTGTTACTTCTTTGAAAATTTTAATCTGTCTTTTAGTTTTCATGATAAATACAACTAAAATATTAATTTCAAAGCCATATTAAAGGGAATATTACCATTTTATAGCCAGCTTCATCAATTTTCTGTTATTATTATTGCTAATACAATATTATTAATTCCACCACAGCATGGAGCAGACGATGCAATCAGTCTGGCTCCCCATCACATAGGAATTCATGGAAAATGGAGTATTTAAGGTGAGCTTCAGCTCCAGATCCAGTCACTTATATTTATATGACTAAAATATGTACTCACATGAGAGCTGGGTGTCTCATGTCCACTACTATCAGTGGAGATTTAATGAATACAGCCAGGGGAACTTGTTCTGCAGACACCTACGCTTAGTCAGGTCAACAGCTTTTGGCTCCAGAGACTGCACTGACTAGGTCCTAGTTCACATGACGTACGTAGTAGTGTTAGTCTGTGAGCTGACTTCCATTCCAGGAGATCAATTAGAAAAACACAAGATTTAGATGCTCTAGATTACCCAAGCCATTTACAAAGGGTTGGCAGTTATGACACTGACCTCCATCCAGAAGGAAAACCATGCTCTGCCTTCGGATATCTGAATCCTCTGAGTGAGCAATTGAATCAAGCCCATAATTTCTTAGTTGCTATATTCACTCCAAGTCAATTTTAATTTTGTTAATTGTTTTCTTTTTAATTAAAATCAGAAGAATGCAAAACATACCTGGCAAACATCGTAGTGCTCAAAGAGAGACAGCAAACCAATATCACTGCGGCTTGTGATGCCTTTCAAGATTGTAATATTTCCATTTCCAGAATTCAGCTCTATCACATCATTGAAAACATTGGACACAGCTTTGCCAGTCAAAAGCAAGTTCACTAATTCCTGTTTATGACATTAAAAAAAAAATAAAATAGTTAACTATCTTGTCTGTACCTGACATTAGTACAAGCTTAATTCAGTGTTGATAAAGTTACACATAAAATCACAGAATGGGTTGGGTTGGAAGGGACTTCCAGGCTGCCCCCAGCCCCATCCAGCCTGGCCTTGGGCACTGCCAGGGATGGGGCAGCCACAGCTCCTCTGGGTGGCCTGGAGCAGGGCCTCATCAGTCTCAGAGTGAAGAATTTCCTCCTAACATCTAATCTAAATCTCTTCTCTTTTAGTTTGAAACCATTCCCCCAGTCCTATCACTAACTGACCATGTAAGAAGTTGCTCTTCATCTTTTTTATAAGCTCTTTTTAGGTAACAAAAGGCAACTATAGGGTATTCTCAGACCATTCTCTTCTCCAGGATGAACAATTCCAGCTCTCTCAGCCTGTCTTTGTAGGAGAGGTGCATCCTCATGGCCTTCCTCTGGATGTACATATCCACATCCTTCTTGTTCTAGGGCTCCCAGGCCTGGATACAGGACTCCAAGTGGATCCTCACAAGGGCAGAGAACCTTCCTCCCTCCACCTGCTGCCCTCTCCTCTGGTGATGTAGCCCAGGATGCAGTGGCCCTTCTGGCCTGCAAGCACACACTGCTGGCTCATGACAAGCTTTTTTCCACCCAAAACCCCCAAATCCTTCTCTGCAGAGCTGCTCTCAATGTGTTCTTCACCCCCTATGTACTCATGGCTGGGATTGCCCCAACCCAGGTGCAACACCTTGCACTTGGACTTGGACCTCATTAGGTTCACATGGGCCCGCTTCTCAAGCTCATCCTGGTCCCTCTGGATGGAATCCCATCCAATTTGCAGATTAGCGTTTTTGTTTAACTTAAAACATTATGGTGTCCCTTTTTCTGTACAATGAAAGTTACAGCATGAATGTTATCAATTAAAAGCTCTACACTACTATCCCAATACTTCTGCATGTGCATAGTAATGTGTTTTGCACATTGGACAAGGCTTGTTAAAAGATTTTCTTGCCAGGGTGTATGTGTGTGTGTATTTGCACACATGCATGTGCATGAAGCTCAAGGAACAATGACACCAAACATTTTGCATAGCATAAGAGCCGGAAAGGGTCAACTAGGACATAACAGCAAATAACATATGTAGCAGCATATGTTAGTCTGCTGATATGTAGCAGCAGGCTGTGGTACAGCAACGAATGAATGGTTAGCTTCAGCTAACCCCTAATAAATAACATATGGCAAGAAACATGAAGGAAAATAAGAATATAGTTTCCAGAAGAAAAAAAAATAAAATATTATGCCCTAAAACATGACTAACACTGTTATTGTCAGTTTGGACTTGATGTTTGACTTTAGAAATAACTGCACACAGTTATATCCCAATGTTTCTCCTGGAGGACTCCCCAAAGTTTACAGGTTTTTACTGATGCTTATAGGACTTCCAAGACCACCAGTGATGTTCCACCACCTGTTTGAGGAATCACCATGTAACCACAGCATAAAAGTCTTGTATTGATAGTAAAAGAGAAGAACAAGAAGCTTGCCTTTTTTCAGCCAGAATGGCAGTACATTTAATGGCTGTCACCATATTCAGACCACATAACTTATGCCCATGTCACAGTTTTCAGGTAATCCATGTCCCTACATTCCACCTTCAGTGTTTTCAACCAGATGGACACCTCTGCAGGCCTAGAGCCAGGCAGTAGGAGACATTTGGTACAGGGCATGAGCTAGAATTTGACTACATAAATTTATGAGCCTAAGTGACAGACAGCAATTCAGAATCCTTATTTCAAAGCACCACGTGTCTATCGGGCACAGCTATAATCAATGAGTCTCCAGTTTGAAGCACCAGTTAGCTTTAGTCAACATCAGCTGTTAGCTGAGCAGGGCTCATTTATGGAGGAACTGTACAGTGGGACATGGAACCTCGATCACTCTTCTGAAATGCAGGCAGGAAACACAGGTTTAGGGATTTCAAAGTGGCAGATGAGGTGAGTAGAGGTCGATTCAGACCAGGAAAAAAAAAAAAAAAAAAAGCAGAGACTCTGAAAGCAAAAACAACAGTCTGCCAAAGTGAAGTGCAAGGATAAACAATAAAGATGAAGATGCTTAACATTCTGGGGAAATGCTAAAGAAATGCTATCTCTTCCCAGAGGTCAGTTCACAGCTCTCTGTGCAGAGTCATATGATATCTCCAAGACTTCATGTTTAACTTACCTGAGTACAATAGCCATGGCTGCCGATCAAACGGTTCGTAAGCACATCAAAATCATTGCGCACCCTGAAAAGAGTAGGGAATACTTAAGCCCAATTGCTTCTTTTCATTTGACTTAAAAATCTCTAAATCTTGGCGAAAAATGCTGTTTCCCAAGTATGAATAGAACTTCACATTTTGGAATTCTTTTAAGCTGAATTTTCACACAGGGAAAAAAGTTTATATCAACTAGACCTGTAGCAAGCAGAAGTTAATTACAGCTAGACTGAGGAACACAGATGTAGAGGAAAGGAGAAGCCGTTCTTGCACAAGGTAGAACTTTAAAAGTCAGAACTACTGACCAATTGTCTTACAGAATGAGCTAGATAAAATGTTCTCACAGATACATGTATTTGTTATTCCTGTCATTAACTCTTGGGATATATCCACAAACTGAAGACAATATTATCTATGCTTTATATTCTCAATGAAAAGGCTCCAGGTGTACACTTATTATAATACTGCAACGTGGTTCCTTCTATTTTATGACACCAAAGACAAAAGTCCATGAAATTGCATCACTGATAATTATGGAGTAATATCTCTCAAAGCCAAGTTCCCTCTCCTATAACTCCTGGAATAATTCAGTTAGTGATTGGTTGGTGTCCTAAAACATAAAATTTGAAGAAGGAAAGCAGAAAGAAAGAGAATGCTTTGTTTTGTGATAAAGCAACAGTTGAATTGATCTGGTTACACTAGAGCTACCTTGAATTTTTCTTTCAACATGGCATGCTCTGTTAAAAAATTCATTTTTTAAGTAAAAAGCTGGGATATCTCTGCATTTACTGTCTTCATCCCAAATATTACAAAATTATTTTTCACCTGGGATTTATGTGAGTGACAAAATTGGAATGTTATGTATAACTTTCAAGATCTCCAGCCCTAATGATCCTTAGAGTCATGCAAATTTGTCATAGCCATCAAATTACACCAATTCCCATTTTATTTTTAATTTGAAAGATAATTTACAAGTTAGTCTCAATAATAAAAAAGTTTTATAATAGCATCTCTTGCTAGTGGGAAATCAAAGAAATGGCCACAGAAAGTGTGCCTGTGATATGGAAAAGTCTCTCATGCAACATTGTGAGGAATGGATGGGATAATAATAATCTTTGGATTTCAGCCATTTTTTAGTTTGAGAAACAGTTTCATCTTGAAAATGCTGTTGCCTTGTTTGAAATGAGTAGACTATACAATATGCGTCAGTTAGGGACGATGGGACATACGAGAAAGACAATAGGAGGAAGTTCTAATTTCATCTGTAGGTACAAACAATATGGGAGCTGAGGTGTATCTCAGATTTTTAAGAAGAAACACATCTGCCTTTCAAATCATCTCTGCTGATGAGGAAACAAACATCAGGCATATAGCTAGAAGATTTACACCTATTCTAAATCATTTTAAGATTATTATTCATACCTCCCAAAGACTTACAAACTTCAATGCAGGTGTATTCATTGTGTTACAATAAAAGGCATCAGCTTTTCAGAAGTGGAAGTACCCTTTGTGTATTGTAAACATACCAGATAACTACAACAATGTGTTTTGTTTTCTGCTGGACTGTGAAGAGATTCATTGATGACAAGCAAATATGAAGCATTTGTCCATTCTGGTATCTTGGCTATCAGGTGTGAAACCAAATACAACAAAAAAATTGTTACCACTAATTCTACTTTGTCCCTGCGTGGAATTTTTCATTTCTCACTTTATAATCACATTAAAACAGAAAACCCTATTAATTTTAAGCCATGAGACTTTTAAGAATCCTGGTCATCCTCAGTACATAAATCTAAGTGGAGTGAAGCATAAGTACGTTGACTGCTGGCTCATAATGGTGGTCATTGCCTCAACTGGTAATATTGTAGTCTTTGAAACTACTCAATTAGAAAACAGGATATGATTTTGAAAATGAAGAAATATATGAAATTGAACGTATGTAAGCACTGCCTTCAATAGGAAGATGTTCTTGAGCCAGTTCTTTAGCCAGTTCATAATCAAAAGAGTGATAACGAGATCTGCTAAATTTCAGATCAGTACATAAGATCTCACATGACATTCACCTTCTCGGATTAACATAATAATGGACATAAAGCCTTGCTTTCAACTTTTGCTATGTTTCAGTTTTTGCCCTGAGACTCCTTCAGCTGCTCAATTCTCCACTCAGTGGTGATTGAACTGTCCAGCTTTTCTGATGCATTGACAAAAATGTAGATATATTTTATATGATTGTAGAACCTAAAAAACATGGCAAAACTAATCTCCATGTAGTTTAATTAATTTGGTACTTTATTTTTTTTTATTTTTATTTTTTTTAAATTCAAATAGTGGTGAGATATTTACATCATAGGGCATAACTTTTTCATCATTCAGTTTGCAACCAGATTTTTTCTTTTTCAGTATGTATTCAATATATAATGTAATAATTATATAAATAACAAATAATTTTATAGTAATATAATATAATGTGTTTTCTTATATAATATTTATATTTTTCATTATTTTTATATAAAACTAGTGTGTGTTATTATGTGGCAAAGCCAAAAATGCATAGGTGGCTTTGGAGCCAGCAGCTGGGGAAATCTTACCATGACAGAAATCAATCAAAAACACTTGATGTGAAATGTATGTATTTTTTCGTGGTTTCTAATGCTGATAGTTTTAGAATGCCTGAAAGTCTTTCCAAAAATACATGTATGATCATATATTGTAAATTTCATTTTCTTCATGTTCCTGTTGATGATTCTGTGTTAATATTCAGCCCTGATGAAACTGCTAATCTGAAGTTAAAAAATCTCAGAAGAAAAAAACACTGAAAGATTTTTTATAAAAAAAAAAAAAAATCAACTAATGTATTTACGGAGGGTTTAAAGTACTGGAGATGTATAGATGTTCTGAGTCAACCCTTCCGCAGGTCTGAACTGTGACATAACATGCTGACATCAAGGCAGCTGTGACAGTTCCTATTAGTCAGAAATTTGCCTCATGTTTTCAACACACTCATCCATTCTGGGATATACACATTAAAAACAACAACAAAAAAATCTTCTAAGAGCTTAGGACAGATGAAGAAAAATAGCATACTTAGATGAAACTGTAAAAGCAGTATAAGCCTTAGCACTGATAGCGTGTTAATAAAATAAATTATTGTGAATTGTAGCACTCTAGTGAAGTTTTAACGTGTATAAATACAAATCCAAAACATAAACAATTTGAGCACTGTAATCAGATGAACTTTTTCTAAATAACACCAGGTTAGATAAATAAAACATTTTAAAAATGCTTCATACACACTAATTTGCAATGTATTTCCAGGAAAACCCTTGCCAAGTCTTTAATGGAGAACATCTGAACATTGCATATTAAATACGAAAGTCAGAGACAAACTTAACAGTAGGAAGAGTTCCAGCCTATCACTAAACGAGCTGGTTAATGCTAGTTATTTTAACTTAGATATCATTCAGATTGATAGCAACTTAAGAACACAGCAAAATGAAATAATATAAAACAAAAAATGGTGCGTTTAAGTAAGTGTTAGCCGTTTTAAAGCCTTTAACTCTGTGGCAAAGCTGTAATTGAGAATTGGTGACCTCACTTTGTTCATGGCAACAGACAGCTATATTAACAAACACACAATTACAAGTCTACTCCCAAAATAGAATTTGGGTTGGGAGGGAGAAAAACTCCTCTTCAAGCACAAGGATTTCAAATAATTACAATGGGGATGTGGAAAATGACAGGATGGGTGACTGGCTTATTGTGTAAATGTTCCTTTTTTTTTTTTTTTTTTTTAATACTGGCACACTGCAAAGGTTATAAATGAATGCTTAAAAAAAAGGGGAAGAGCTGCTCTGTTAAAAATAAATAAATAAATTGCTGTTTGGGATGCAAACCAATAAAAGCAAGGAAGTGGTTTCAATTCTTCATTTATCACTTTTTTCACATGCCTGATAATTTCACAAAGTTCTTGAAATGTACACGTACTTGACAATCATGCACATTTAATTCATCAGCTCTGCTACTACAGGGTGCTTACACCCTATAAGAAGTACTTACGTTTCAGAGGGATAGGTCTAATGCAGAAAGTGATTAAGCAATTGGCATATTCAATACATTCCATTTTTCAGAATAAATTATCTTTCTTATTGAATGCAACATGTCCCTCTGAGCTGAGCACGTTATGGAAAGATATTAAACTAGGATCTTTTTAACCATAGTGACCTTATGTTTAGTAAATGGAGCTGAACAGTACATAGTAGGTACTCGAGGCTCGCTGAAATTTGGCAAAAATGTGACCGTATTTTCATTACTGCTCTACTTTTTAATAGAATCAGACTTCTATTTTGCCTCTTTGGAGACCTTTTTAAAAAAAGCTGTAGCATTCTTTTTTAAAAAATACACCTTATATCCCTAAAATCAAAAGCATTCATTTCCGAAAGGCTTTAATTTCCTCCAGGAAAGGGAAAAAACAAGACTGGGAAGATGACAAAGCTAATTTGTCACTTAGGGATGGGCAATTTTTTTATATCTAAAGATGAACACATAGTCTTTAGCTAATCATTCTTGGCTTCTTTACATTTCAGTATGTGGAAAAAAAAAAAAAAAAAGTAGTAAATCCTGAAGTAATTTACAAGACCTTCTAAATAATGTTCAGAGAAGAGGAAGAAACTACTGGGAAATGTCTTTTCCCTGTCTGACGAATGTGAAGAGAGCCTACCACGATTTGGGTATGACCATCTAATTGTTACATAATGAGGTCTGGAAAGATAAATCATACTCACGAATACGTCAGCATTGCAGACAGACTCAGTATATATTTTTGGTTTACAAGCTGAGAAATACAGTTGCTATAGAAATAATGTCTCATAGCTAGCTTTGACAAAACTGTCCTTGCTCAGACAAGCCAACTAAATGCAATGCATGAACAGCCACTTTCAAATAGTCAGTTTGATTCAGGTTTTAACTTGACAATGACAGAAATTGAACATTTTGATTCTTGAGTTTACTGGAAGCATGCAAAAGATGACTTC